CTGACAGTCGATGTATCCAATTCCAAGTATAAGAACTTGAATCGAGTTTACGGTGATGGATAAGTACTTGAAATATCAATTTTGTTGCTACTCCGAGGAATTATTCGCTAATCATTCATAAGCTGGTTGAATGTTGGGAGAAACTTGAAGATCACCGGTGGCTAGCTCGTGGTATTTCCTAGTAAAATCTTCCCGGTGTAGGCAACAAATTAAACCCAACACCACGAATTGAAGCCATGTTCCGTCACGGTCGGATCGAAATCCCCGGTCTCCGTTACCCAGGGTTAGCTGCATGTTCTGATCACTATGATAACGGGACTGGCTCAAATCGAAACAAACTGACTATTCGTTATTTAAATCAATGTACCCGAGATCTTGCGACCAGGGGCCATTAAGCTAACCTAAATTGTATCTAATACATTACTGTAAAAACAAATGTCATCATGCTGACTAACAAAGTTACTCTCTTGTAGAATCAGCGAAATATTCATTTCGCAAAAGTGTTGCGAGCAAGTAAAATGTGAACGGTGAAGTTTCTTAATGGACATCAATTCTTTCTATGCGATGGCAATGGCAGTAGCAACACATTATATTATATACAACCATGGAAGTAACCCTTGACGTGAACACAAAATGCATGCAAAGAGTACTTCTTTCTCGTTTTGTGTCCTAGACCTTGCAACTTGATACTAGAATGAATGTTTGCATGTAGACTATGTGTGAGGTACATAATGTAGCCATACATTGTAAGAAAATCATTGTATCAGCTTATTTGTTGCACCTCTATTTAAAAATTGTAATAAATACAAATGAATGTGTCGGGATAAAAGCGATCCCGAGCGTGAAAATGCGTTAAACACAACAGCTGCCACGGACTTTTCGTGAATCGCCGATTTATAAATAATATTCGTTGAGATGTAAGCAAGTGAGACATTTCTCAGGAGATTCGTTCTGGGACATTATGAACTATTAATTTTGAACTTGACAATCAACAAAAGGGAATAAGTTACCTCAGCCTCAGAGCCCATGAAACGCTCCACATAGCCTGAGGAAGCAAGGTACTGAACAAATAAAATATATTTTCAAAAACCGTGTCACGGTCTGTTTTCAAACCACATACAGCACGTGTTTTGCATTTGCGTAATGCTCCAACAAATTTCGAATCGCAAGAGTTTTTACTTTGCAGATTGTGCAGTTAACAAATTACATATCGTGACTAAGATGCAATTTCCGTGAACCCGAGTTTTAAAATAGGTTAAAACTAGTGTTTATTACACATTTTTCACCTTTGATTAATACAAACAAAGTAGATCAGTAAATAAGTAAATTTAGACATTACATATTAATAATTGTGAGTTGGAACATGCGAATTCAATATATAAGAGAAATCAGTTTGTTCAGTGTCAAAGGTCATTTGGTGAAAGATTACAAATGGGAAGTTTTATTTAATCAACTGAAATTGACATACGCGTCACGGTGGCTTAAAGTGATAAGTCAGAGTCGGGTGTATTTTAAGCGGGAATTTAACATCGAAAATTCACTATATAATCAAATAATTTAATTTCAGAAATTGTGGATCATCGTCTTCGTCCTCATCGTCGTCGTCACAGTCATCATCAACATCATCGACATCGCCACCGTCTTCTTCTTGGTCACCATCATCATCATCACCATCAACGGTTAACACTGGCATGTATGTCATTTCGCTTAATCGTCTCGCTCGTGTGATCAGGCAAATCTCGCGGTATTTCAAACAAAGCTCAATTTATTCCAAGTACTGGTACTGCTAGGGGAAAATCTAACGTTGTGATTTTCAGAAGGCTATTTACGTTGTTTTCAATCCATTCTCTAGTCCACCTCGTTTCTGAACCGTAGACATCAATAAACACAAAACCTGAATTGAAATGAAAATGACTAAAGTGCTACAATATTCATTTTTAAGTGGGCTAAATGGCGCACGGCGTTTGCCAGCGGCCATATATCTGTTTTCATACTCACAGAGCGAGTTTGTTCAGCTTTCCATTACCATACGAGGACAGGCAGTTTCACGAAAGGAGGATATACAAATTGCCATTCGCCCTAACATTTTACGTACTGACCTAGCGTGTCACCCGTCAATTAGTAACAAAAAGCTGCCGGAGTTTGGAGAATATAAACCATCGGAGAATTTTTTTCTAAAAAAAGGCAATCTATCTCTGTTTTGACACTGGTTACAATAAAACGTTTTCGGAGAGTACCCTGGTTGCACATCCCTTCTTCATACATTCGTGCGATCGATCTTAGAATTATTGCATAGAAAAGCGATACACACATTCTCTGTGTTGCAGCCAACTTCGATTTATTGTATTTAATTTAATTTATTGCTAAAGATTTAAAAATTCCCCCAATAAAAATCAGAAACGTGGAGATAATGTATTTTATTTGTTGCTATTGTCATTATTTCGAGTAAAACAAAACAAAAACTAAACAAAACTCACATGCGATCGCAATTACATTCAACGTCATTTTAGAATTGCGTAACGTATCAATTTGTATCGTGGATAGATCAAACGAAGGTGACCGATTACCTGCTTATTTGTGTTACGTGTTTTTTCGAGGGGTCGCAAACCAGCAGCAGAAATTTCAAATCAGAGAAGCGTTTGAAGTTGCGGGCTAAATGTTTTGCATAACTCAGGAGTAAGCACCGGATAGAGGATATTTGCACAGATGCTGATCAATACAAAGTCGTCACTCATTCTTTCTTTTCCAGCAGCCAATTTATATTGATCTTACGGCAAATATTAACACTTAGTGTGGCGAGCAATAGCCATGTCTTGAATAATAATAATCAAAAAAGAGAACGCGGAAACCACAGTTTTACACACCCAGTCATCATGGATCGCCCACCGTTCACAGGATCTATATAATACGTTATTGTAATAGTAATTGGCCGATGGATGATTCTTGATCGTGCTTGATAATTACCGATGATTAATAACGAGTCAACAGAACAGTTGCGTTTTCGCGACTCCTTAAAATTTACAAGTTAAAGGTGGCCCGGTTGATGTTGATTCAACTTGTATTTGCCCATGTGAGCAAACGTAGCGGTCGTCTTAACAGAAATAGCAAAAATACACGTACAGCTAAAAGAATTCAGTATGTTTGTCTCTGCTCTGACTGTTGGGTACCAATATTATATTGACTTCACGGACTAGCTTAAGGAGTTACATAATGATATGATTTGACTTGATAGTATAGTGTACTCGGACAGCCTGCTTCCCGCATAAATATAATATTAATTAATCAAGTCTGGATCAGAATCGGCCGTAACTGCAATAATTATATTTGAGGTAGCCGAGCCAGTTATAACGCATAAGGAGTATTTGCGAGTAACAGCGTTCGATGTGAGCACTGACTCAGTCGGTGGCGTTCAGTCAATCGACTTCGGCATTATTAAAATATAAAAATTATTCATTTTTTTTATTATTAAAATATTTTTATCAAAAGAGTACAGTATGATATGGATGTCAGACTAAATCTGTTTAAGGCCGAATATTATCATATATAGCTATACTTGACAACTTTTGACTCGATCTAGTGTTATGTCTTCAATTACCTAAAAATAGTCCATGGATTGTAGTTCTCAAATATTGACTCGGGGACGACCGACACGCCGCATTGGATCTGAAAATCTGCTGAACCAAACGAAGAGCACCATTTATACAACCGCAATACAAGTAAAAAAACGTCTTTGAAACACATGTTCACCCTGCTGAGAAGTCATGATTATTTTTATTAATTATATAACGCGCCACAGTCGTCACGCAACGCGCTATCGTATTGCGTATTGTATACGCGTTGCATGGGACTAGTGCGTCGCATGGGACTCACATGACGCGTTGGGACGAATGTGGCGCTTTAAATCAATAGTGCAGAACTTTAGCGCTGGTGCGTTTGTCGCCACTTATCTGATATCGTTCGTTTAGTGACTTAATGGCGCGGAAAATCGTCCAACAATACGGGTTAACGCCCCCTTCAATTCTCTTTTTAACTAAATGTATAAGCGTGAGACAGGTTCGGGTGTTGTGCAATTATCGATCGTGACAAAAAGAAGTCTTCCCCTCAAATCGGAAAATACAGCTTGTGGTTACCACCAGTGCATTTGCGATATTACACCGATTTTCGCTCGCTCCCTTATCTTATCTTGTCCTCTTTCCATCTCCGAAATGGTGCTTTTTTCTTTGTTGACATAAGGGGTAACTCTTTTCACGTGCACAATGATGCCCGTGGCACGTGTAAGCAGTGTTAGTAGAGCATTGAGCGCTGCACAAAAGCAGGGTTTCCAAAGTCACTGTGGTGGCGATGGGGGACAAAAGCGTGCGGTTACTAATCAGAATCTCCAAACGACGGAGTGTTGGCCGAATTAAGTCTAACCTTCGAGCAATGACGTCACTTCTTGTGATTTTTGAGGATACTGTAGACTTATGGTATATACGCAATCGGCAAGCGTACGCCGTCATAGTACTAGGAGCGTATACTGACGATTGGATAGATGAAACTTTACTAAGGCCATAGAAATATCTGAAACTTGAATCTGAGATTCAAGTAAGTGAGCGAAACGGTTTGATGGCGCGTACCTTCCGCAGTGTAGTATGCAGGAAGGTGCCAATAAGTTCCCAAATCATAAAAAATCAGACAAACCGATTATCGCTTAGAACAAATGCTTGTACAGTATATTATCACGAAGCCAACCGTGTCATTATTGTTCACCTAAATATCACGTGTCGACGATTCGCATAATTAGCATCATATGCAAAAGAGTTCGATGATCGTCATGCGTGCAAACACAGTCGCGGGATCGCGAGGGGTGGAAACATTAGCATTTCCGTACCGGAAGTGTCCTCTTATTGGCCGGCGTATGAGTTGGCCGGGGGAGTTTGCCGGAAAAATGTAACAGCGTCGCGCTGCGAAGTTACAACAATATTAATGTCATCTATGAAAAATTATGTTAGTGGTTCAAATTACGAATAAGCAACTCTTCGGTGTCGAAAAGTTTGTTCAGCTAGAATCGGGAGCTCATGATAACGGAGTCGCCCAGACTTCCTAAGCTGCCGTCAGTCGAGTCAGTTCCGTATCGTATGTCAACACGAAGTCACAGGAAGTGAGACAATTGAACACCGCCGCTGTTTTTCGTTGTTACTTCACCGAGGTTTTCACAAGAGTCTGGCCAAATTCTATGGAAACATGGGTATGTATAATATTAAAATATTTTTTTTATAATTCATTTTTTATAATTTTCTTACACGTTTAATATCTTGTTCTTAGCAATACAGCACATTAAATTATTGAAAACAACAAAGGCAATTTAGCTAATATTTGAATGCACCCAATCTTGACTTAATATTGTTAACATTGTTGAAATGAGTAGATCCGAATATTCCAATTCTCGGAGCGAGGATCCAGTCGATTTAGCGCCAAATATCTGTCAGCGTCGCCTTTCTTAGACTTGTCCAAACCAATCAAATAAACAACATTTAGTGGTGTGTCAACCGTCACGACCTAAGAGAGTACATGCTATTTTATGGGGTACCATCATCCTCGAACAATGAGAGGCACGGCGCTGATTGAACTTTTTTTTTATTTATGACGACTCGAAGTCACAACTTTCTGATCTCGGAAGTGTTTTGACTGACTCAAACATAAACACGCACTGAAAACAAAATCACTTATTGTCCAAAATTATACCACCATATCGTATACATTTAGCATTTATATTGCTGCAGACCGAATTTAGGAATTGGTGGGGTTGTGTAACAATCCGAACCTATAACTGTTCACAGTGAATATTCACCCGTTTGAGAGAAAAAGGCAAGATGTTGAATTAAACGAATTTCTTTCTGACTAAGATTTCAGTCCTTGCTAAAGAGTTGTGTGCGAAAGTAACTAATAAGATTATTGTGAACACAAAAAAAAACTTCTTACAATTTTTTAACCATGTAGCTCCATGTTGAATGTAGTAATATATGATGTGTTGGTTGACTTCGATTGGGATGAAACAAATTCCATTTAAGATTTGGTCTGCCTGTAGAAACGCAAAACAAATCGGGAATTTAGTTCCAGGGAAACCTTACATGTAGAAGTCGGATTATAGGAATTGTCCAGTGCATCGTAGTCCCTATAGAATGACTGTGTATAGCCGAATATAGCCGGCAATCAATCTATTGTAATTAGGGGTAAGGTGAAAGTAAATACTTCGCGTAAAAGCACTTTTATTCTATGTCCCCAAAACAATCGGTCTCTTTGGAAAAAGCAAGATTCGTTTAATTTGAATAGTTTTATATCCAAGTCACACTCAACACTGTGTCCGATTTCAAATCTTGAAAGCAGGGACAACATTGGCAACCTTGGGGAAGCCCAGTCTTGAATTGATCAAAAAGCACCAAAGACAATATTTGTTCTCGGGTATGAAGTGCTATACAGAACTTTTGTAGAGTTATGTTGGCGCACGAGGTTTTCGCAAACACTAGAAAAGCATTTAGTGTAATTACTGTGTCGAAATCACCGATAAATTGCCCGAATTCTTTGTCTGCAAAATTGTCAGATACACAATAAATTTCATGATCACCTGTTTCGGAAGCTTCAGAAGGCCTCCTGGCTGACGTTTTCCGTGACATTCACGCTCGTGTCTCCAAGTGCTGACAGGCAGTCGCGTGCTGTGAACAAAGAGTAGCGGCTCAGGTATCTTTTCAGCCTCTCCTCCAGTTGTCGGTTCTCAGCGAAGCGTGGATCACACTTTGTAGTCGACACTGAAAGACCGGTTTTGTTCGACTTTGTAAGAAACTGGCTTCAGTTTGGAAAGTATACACACTCAAAGTCTCCGTATACACAGAATTTTCAACTCTATGTTCATTTAACTTCAATAAGTAGAAATGGTTTAGAGGCATCCATGTGCCGCCCATATGGGCAACCAACGTTTCTACGAGAAATCTCTAAGAAGCGGGTTCACCCTGTGGTTCAACAAACCGGTCCCGAAACATGGGTACTGGTTTCGACGATTTTTTTACATCAGGCGGCGGCGGAAACCTGTGTTCTTTTCATATACGTGATACTTCTGTATATATGCATTTCTGAAATTTCAACAAATAAAACAACAAAGAAGCAAAATATTTTACGGGGACTTATAATTACCTTCCATATAATCCGTATTCACATACTTTTCTCAGACCAATACTCACACACACACGTCATTTTTATTAGTAATTAGCAATGTTAATTGATAACAAACTATTAAAGTCGTTTTTTTGTTTTTGATAATTGCTTTTTCTGAAACCAGTGATATGACGAAATGAAACGACTGCCGTTAAAAAAAGCCGGGACCGAAACACACATTCACCGTATTGTTTCTCGATCGCTGTACGTGTAAAAAGGTGAACTATGCTCATCACTGGACAAGTATATAGTTCTTATATTTAGAATAAAAAACAGCCTTCCACACAATTATTCCGTGTTAATACACATATGCCTCGGAACAGAGATGCAGCATAATATAAAGTGCCGGTATCCTAGCAGAAAGTAGTTTGTAAAGCGTCTTGGTCCCCATGAAAAAGCAGACATGCAAACTTATTTTTAAGTTGCTGTGCGGAATAGCGTAGGGAAAGTCCTACTCGGACTGTCATATGCGCAATGCAAACCATCCGTCACCGCGGCCGCCGCCGAGAAATACCGGGCACAGTAATTATAAAATGACGACAATTATATATTTTGAAGCATAGTGGTATTTTGTTCAACTCACAAGACAACCCCTTACTGTAAGGATTTCGTGGAGATTTTTTTTTAAAATGCGGTTGAAATTTACGCTGTTTTCTTCTGTTTTTTTAAACTTACAAATACTGTTGTTTGAGTTAATTCCTCAGTCATGTGACTTTAATACGCGTGTAACTCGATACAGAAAACACTTTTATTCACATGCACTCTTTTCGTTTGCTTTTCTCGTCAAAGGTCGAACTCTTCCAAATCCGGTACCCTGTCAAGTGTGTGGAGACAAGAGCTACGGCAAACACTACGGCGTATACTGCTGCGACGGCTGCAGTTGTTTCTTCAAGCGAAGCATACGTCGCAATATGGTGTACACGTGTATCGGTAAAGGCAACTGCACTATAGACAAAGCGAGGAGAAACTGGTGCCCGTATTGCCGCCTCAATAAATGTTTCGCTGTAAGCATGAACCGAAGTGGTAAGTACAGTGTTGTTAGCATTCTCATAATAAATAATAAAAAAAAAACACGTATGTTATGCGTATGGTGTATTCCGCCGTGGGGTATTACATATCTGTGCATTTGTTAATTCCACAATTATCATTCGTTAAGATGTATTTTATTTACTCGTCAACGATGAATATTTTAGTAAGTTGAACATCTAACAATAAATAAATGCTTCCCTATGAAGAATATCTTCAGCAATACTAGTATTTCGTTAAAAAAAACGTGCTTGCAAAATATTGCATTTCAAGGCTACCTCATACTCATAACCACCTTGGATGGTCAAAATACAAATGTGAAACACTCCGAGTTAGTTACAACTAAACATAAGTATAGCTCAGAGTAACATACACGACATATTAGGAGCTGCGAAAAACGAAACGAAAAACGAAATCACTGATTTGCTTAGCAAGTAATATAGATTTTCTTGTATTGTGTGTTCCAGTTGATCGTGCATTCATATCATCTGATACAAGAATTTGTACTATTTCTCTCTTTATACCCGAGTATGCATAGTGCAACTTGATTTTACTTTCCACATTCATTCTTTAAAATTCACGCATCACGGACACGAATGATAGTAGTAGTTACGGTAGTTAAATAAAAACAATTCATAGTTAGATTGATTAAGACATGATTCGCAAAGAGATTGAATGTTAACTTTCTCAAACTCCAGTAGTAAGAAAAGTATAATTGCTGATTACAATTTCGACTCAAAAACGGCACATATTTCTCGATGTAGCGGGTCGGTTCTCGATCGTAGTGTTACGTAGGCATTCGTGTCTTGATCTAACCAGAGTCGCGTTTCCAATCAAAGTCGCGTTGTTTGATAAAATATTAATCATGACTATTTTATGGTTTTGTCCAATGGTTGGGATATATACATCGTAGCATGGTGCACCGACCTATATATATTGGAATGCATCACATGGTTGTCATAAACCTGACTGGGATCGTATACGGACGTATAGTGGTTAGACTTCGTCATATGGTCGTCATAATCTTGGTTGGGATCGTGTACCGGCATACAGTAGATGTAATATATAGTAGGGTTTCCATCGACTTAGCTAGGATCGCCTATCGTCGTATAGTCAATGTGATACGTCATGGGGTCGTCGTCACCTTAGTTAGGGTCATATACCGGCATACAGTAGATGGGATACATCGCAGGGTTGTCATCGACTTGACTAGGATCTCGTACCGACGTATAGTGGATACGATACGTCATATGGTCGTCATCACTTTGGCTTGGATCGTGTACCGGCATACAATATATGGGGTATATTGAGGGTTGCAATCGACTTAGTTATGATGGCGTACCGACGTATAATCGCATACGTCATAGGGTCATGGCGGCACCGGGGGGGGGGCAGAGGGGCGCTCGCTCCCTCGAAACAAATGTTAGAGGGCGTTGCCCCTCCAAAATCAAGCTGAAACCCTTTGTGTCAGAACAATTTGCGGCTCAAAATCCAGGAAACAGCGTTTCAGAGGGTCTAGATTTCAAAATTGCCACGGAGAAGCATGCCCAAGGTCCCCTAGTATGGTTACGCCTTCGGCGCGAGGTTGGTGAGCAGATCTCGCCCCTCTCATGTAAAATGTTGTGCCGCTGCCGCTGGGATATATCATAGGGCTGCCATCGACTAGGATCGCGTACCGACGTATAGTCAATGGCATACGTCGTAGGGTCGTCAACTCCTTAGTTTGGGTCGTGTACCGGCATACAGTAGATGGGATACAATACATCGTAGGGTTGCCATCGACTTAGCTAGGATCGCATACCGACGTACAATTTTCTAATATACATGCGGGATACTTCGCAGAATGGGTGGTAATGTGATTTAGTTCAAATGAAGTAAAACGACAGTTTTTGACAAGAATACAATTTACACGAATTGTAGAACATATCAAAAGGGCTACAAAAAATGCGCAAATCTTATCAAAAAATCAGGGTTTTCAGTTTGAATCAGACATTACAAGAAAAAGGGTTCAACGATGAATATAGTCGTTGACAGTCTCTGTTTTCTGTATTGGAATATCTCCTGATTCCGTGGTTTCATTGGATAAATGGAAGCAAAGGGACGAAATATCGGGTATGCCACTCATTCTGTAGTGGTCCTGATATAAAAAACTATGTAGTCTTGTCTCTACGTCCCACAAACTCAAATATTCATTTAAAAATCATGCGGTATACCGGTTATTTTAAAAAATAAAGAAGACACAAAAATAGTGCGACGAAGATACGTCTGTACATTGTATAGCTCCAAGTCACATTTCTCCGATTGACGCGCCACAAAACACCTGCTCCGATTTTAATGGGAAAATGGCAAATAAATCGATGGCGAGGGCGACTGTGCACTTAACTGCTTGTCACTTAGCGTATCACTATCGTCAACATGGGTGCTATTCTCCCGTCGGCAATGCAAACCGAAGCAGGATACCTGAAATACGAATCCGCCGTGCATACTGAGATGCGCCGGACAGACAGATTGTATCGGGGAGTTAATGAAAATACAAGTGGTCGGTGTTCATATAATTTGTCAGGATCGATTTGACTCTTGAATTTAGAAAAAAAAAATAATGACTGTTGTTGTTTCAAAGATTAAACAAGGGATTGAAATAAACAGCGCTTATCGTGGCGGTTGCCAATGGAAATACCGTAACTGTTTCAGGATGGAGTGGATTCTAGTGATGGCGTACTATAAAACGTATGTACGTATGCGTTACGGCTGTCCGACGATAAATTAACGCTTATTAACATGTTAATTGAATTACAGATAATTTCGTGAATAATTGATATTTAGCTGCTTCATAAAGGTATTCGATAATCACAAATCGCGGTATTTAACGAATCAAAGTGCAGTGAAACCCGTCATATGTAGAACCCGTTATAACCACGCGTATAACTGCCGATGTTTATAGTACTCAATGAATGCTGCAAACCATATCGATACGGAAATCACGTACCAGCCCCGGTACAAATTCTTGGATAGATCTGTCAAACCACCGATTTAGAATGCGTATAACACTTACTATATTTGCTAAAATTGGATTAATTCTAGTCACGCATCAATGACTGTGTCAATAATATTAGAATCATTTTAAACAAACTTGAATTGAATTTCATAAGTGCAGCCCTACCAGTGAAATCTTAATCTCTGCGAAATCTCTTTGAAAGAATGATGGGAAACTGAAGATGGGCCTGAAAATACAAACAATTCTGAAACCGTCTCAACTTATGCCCCAAAACGCTCCGTCCTTATTTTCAACATGTACACTCATTTCCAGCGGTCCAAGAAGAACGTGGTCCAAGAAAAAACAAAGATCCTACTTCAAGTATGGACAAAAACAAGACGAAACCAGATTCAACGAGTAGTAACGTCAACGGAGCCGAACACCCTGGCTGCGATGGAAAGATACATAGCTATTCGCCAAAATCCCGGTCGCCCGATTCAACAGAAGAATCTACAAGCCCAAAGCCTCAACACAGCCCATTCCAGCCGTGGAAGACAACGAGCATTCGGACAATGAAAATGAAACTGGAAAAGGAGTCCTCGGATTTCAGGAGTGCGTTCGAGAGTTTCCGACCAGCCCGATGTCAGCCATACCCGATTCATGGTCCAGCGGTCCTTGCTGCCAATCTACCGAACCCTTCAACGCTGGCCCTGGGACAACATATAGCACCCCGTATTGTCACAAAAGGTACGCTATAGAATAATCGTATGCTGAACACAATTCTGAATAATGTAAGCTACTTCTATGTGGTTATGATATATTTCACGTCATTGGGTTGACCATTAGGAACTTTGGGCGGAATAGTTTTGGGTGAATTTTGGCAAAACAAATTTAATTTCTACACAAAAAAATAATTGGAATTTTTTTTAATAGACTAAGCAAAGCAAAAATTTGGGCAACATCATTATAAAAAAAACGTTCTTGCTCATTATTACAAGACGTGAACAGAATTTGCTCAGAGTTTCTAGCTGCCCAGTGAACCAATACATGGAACGTGATCGACAAATCCATGTAGCGAGACTGACATGACATTTTTTTATTCGACACTGACGGTTAACAATACAACTTCCATTGCATAAGTTGTGCACCCAGAATGCCATTAATGGTTGAGACAAACTGACTGTGATGTACGTTTTTATATTGTCAAAATAAAAATCAAACATTCCCCAGGAACAACGTGCAACGGCAGATGCCGCACGCGAACACCACTTAACGTAGGGGTGCTTGAGGCTGCCTGAGCGTCGCCGGGGTCGAGTTAACTAAACTGACACTAAGTGATCGAACGGATAAACAAAGTGAAATCGGAAACCGTGTTAGTATTTATTCTAGTTACTTCAAGTAGATAGACCAATTAATTATGATGACATAATGGCAATGACCGTATTGACGCTTTCCCATCTGACGATCGTAGGAGAGGTCACGTGTTCTCCCGGTGCTCGTAAAACAGCACCTTGATAGTCACGATGAACTGACCACACTCGGCCCTGACAGCTTTAAATAATATGCAAGCTTTTACCCGTTTCTACTCTCTGTCTGTGCACATGAACTCTATATACTACAGGCTACTATAGTACATGTAATATACCTTAGAGTGAGAGGTATGTGGTCTTACATAATGTATTTGGCATGTTGGTGGGCATGATGCTTGGAACTTGGGTATAGAATCGTATAACCCACCACCCGACATATCTACAAATAGTGTTATTAAAAGTGCTTGTCCATGTAACAATGGAATTCTCTAATACGCATGTGTGCTGGTTACAGTGGCTTTGGTACATGCCGCATACATTGGTGTGTTTTCAGTTTGCAACGAGCGAATACTGGAAATATACAGTGTACAACAAAAGAAATATGTTTTAGTACGACAGGTCTAGGTTTAGATTTGGCTTTATCTTAGAACGGCTAGGATAAAATATATGACCGTCTTCTATTTTGCTTTTTCTGTCGACACGTTTTGTATGTCATATTTGTTGCTACGAAACAGAGAAAAACAGCACCAATGTTTGAGGTAATATCTGGACGCATCACAAAACAGTATACTAATCGCCAGCAAAAGCAAACGTAAACATTGCATCTACCCTGTATTGTCATGGTATATTAAAACATTATACTTCCCATTCTCAGGATCGTCTACGTCACCATTGGATACACATCTGCGTGTTGGTCCCCCACCTGTTCTTGTGCGGCCGATCGCCCTCACGCGACAGGGTTACCAGGAGATGTTACACGAAATAGCAGCACAGATTTTATTTACTTCCATAAAGCGGGCGAGAAGCGTACAGACTTTTCAAACACTGTCATTCAGCGACCAGATTTTACTACTGGAAGACTGCTGGGGCGAGTTGTTCCTGCTTCATGCTGCCTACTGGCCCGTTGATTTGGCAACCCTCATTGTTCAGTTCCAAGGAAGCGCCGATACGGCTGCAGGATCGGGATTTGACAGTTTGAAAGTGAGTACGATTTGTTGTCTTATAGTCTTTTGGTTCAAAATTATATAGTGCCATCGTTGCGGTCATTTTCTAAGTCCTGCTATGGAGATTTCCCAATAATACGACGGTATTGCATAGAGTCAAACATTTGGAGTGTGTGTGCAGCTCCGCATTGTGAGTAACATGCGAGATCTCGCGTTGTTTGTGTTGTACCATGACAACTTGTTGCTGACCACGTGACATAGACCGAGCACGATATGCGTTTTCTCTATGATGCTGAGATTCTGAGTGACTTTTCCCAATATAGCAGCCTACTCATTCATACTCGCGAAATAGGTTGTCAATATTTAATTTTATATTAGTATATAATAGTTACTGTTAATTGTGATATTATTTAAAGTTGATAACATGGCTATGTCACGTGGTACTACACTATTGTTTGCAAGATTCATATAACACAGTGGCATAGGAAAATCATTATTCCGTGTTTAACCTGTTTCTAAAATCCAATCCCAAAATTCAGAATATTATCAACAAGTGAGCGTGTGTGTGTGTGTGATTCCTTATTATTTGTTTTTAAAGTGCGTGTTTCTTTATTTAAAAACAACAACAACATTTTCTGACTTAGATAAGATTACGACAAAACGGGGTGAACGCGAACGACATTTTTGCTTTCGCGTAAAAGTCCACTTCATTCAGGCATTCTCTATTTTCGAAAAAAAACACAGTAAAGACATGGCATGTATTTTTCCTTTGTTTACTCTAGTATCTTTACCCAATATATTATATGGTCTATCATGTATTGAGACATAGAGTACCGGGGTAACACATAATCAAATTTGGAAAAAAAGGGTTTGATATGTTCATATAAGGGCAGGTAATACCTAAATTGT